TAGTACGGGTTTTTTTTTCATTGTCAAAAGATATACATTTTGTCACATTACGTACATTTAACCAAGTTGATGCTGCATAGTACATAGTTTCCGGTTTTTTTTTTTCGTTGAGGATTACGTGGCCTCTTCACATATAATCCCTTCACACAAAAAAAGTTCTCACGAAAATTTCATCATAAATCGATTTGGGAATAAAGGTAAGTTTTTTTTATTCTTGACATCGATAAATTCGATCTTATTCCATGACGATAAGGCAATGGAACCACATATTTTCTTCTTTTTCTTTAGGTTGTATTTCTACAATGAAGATGGCCCAACTATGATCCGTAGAGTCGTTATTCATTACAAGGCCATCACATTCATACCCCGTACATGTTTTACGTACAACAACAATATGGTATGATCGCATCTAATTCCTTACTCTCGTACTATCTTATCACCCTACATTTTTTTTTGTTTTCACGTTAAATTACATTACCCATGTTATACTTGCAAAATATGCACGATTTATTAAGAAAAAAAAAGGATTTTTCGTCAAGTGTTGGATTTTTATTTACCATCGATGGTAAACAGGCATAAATTACCCCACTAGTTATATGTATCACCACTTCTTTTTTTTTGTAGAAATGATAATCTCTTAACAAAGCATATTAAATTTTGAGTGATTATTGTCTACAAACAAAGCATATTAAATTTTGAGTGATTATTGTCTACAAAACCTTAGTGAATTAGAACAATTTTTTGCAGATAAAGGTCATTTGAATGTTATAAGCCTAAGAAACTATGCCAGAAAGTTTTGCATTTCTCCACCATCGCTCATCATGGTTCATTGGCATGCTCCGGTTTGGTTCTCCAAAAGAATACCAAACCATGCTTTTTGTTTGTTACGTTGCTGCATGGAGTGGGATTCCAACGAAAGACCGGTTGTTAAATTGGGGGATTCAATGTTTCTCAAGGTGTTTTAGTACATAAATAAGATTAGAACTAGCTAGTTTCTTGTCCATTCAGATCTGGTAACATTCAATAAGATTCTACGTTTGATCAAAGATCTGTCAAAGTCAGTAATTGTATTTTGATTGAAGCTTGTCCTATAAGCTACTATGTATAATAACAACACAATCTCTATTGCTCAGCAACAAAGCTCACAGGTCTTCTCATTCGATGTATGCAAACAATGTGCATTTATCTCTTCATACTAGAAATCTTAGACCTTGTGCCAACATCATCTTACTGATATATTGGGTTTTTGAGGCTTTCTAACCTAAGATTTTCCACGGTTTTTCGAGTCAAAGTGTTATTTTAGGGATTTTTAGTCTTTTTATCGAGTCTTTTCAGGTTTTAGATCGTTTGGGAGAAAATGAGCCGTTTTGGGTGCAAACAAACATATGTGGATGCAGAACTATGCAGGAACGTCCGAAGTTTGGCATTCATTGAAGTACTTCCCACCGATGGATCGAGCTGGAATTTGGACACAAGCTATATATTTGAGTTAGCTTTCATTTGGAAGTGGTTTGGAGTCAATCAAACGCTGCGATCAAAAGTTATGCCAGTTTTCGTGAAAGCAGTCCAATCTGGCGCGCACAGAAGACCGAAGAATTTTTCGAGAGAAATTAGATCGATCGATCTAGATTTGGATTGATCGATCCGAAGTTCAAAAATTACCCGAGACAATTTAGATCGATCGATCTAGGAGGGATCGATCGATTCGAGAGGCCATGGATTTCCCGAGAGGATTTAGATCGATCGATCCAAGTCAGGATCGATCGATCTGGGGTCTTAACCAGCCGGTTTGGTCGCGCATAAATAAGGAAACTTCAAATTTTTTCCTATTCTGACTTAGTTTTCAATAATCTCTCATCCAATTCGTGTCGGGACCTATAAATACTTGTTTTTCAGCCATTGTTTAGGCCGACCCTCTTCTTTTACATTCATACTTTTAGATTTTGTGCTTTGTAAGTTTGGGAAGAAGAATATCTACATCTTTTAAGAAGATTTCTGAACCCCTTTGGATTTCTTATTTATTGATTATGAATTTCTCTTCTTCTCCTTGCTGTTTCCCTGCTTCCATGTCTGAGTAGTTTTATAGTTAGGTTTAGGATTTTTAAAGGATTCATGAATCATTGAACTAGACATAAATAGGGTTATTCATCTGCTGTCTTCACCTATTGTTGTTCTCATTGCCTAGATTAATTTGATCACTTAATCTTTGATTTAGGGGTTAATCTATTCATGAAAGTGTTTTAGATTGCTTGATAGAACATAGGTGAGCAGATTGTCCTTAGCCAACGAAAGCTGATGTTAAGGCAATCTGTGAACAAATCAAACATGTTCATTAATGCTTGTTTAAAATTTGAAGTTCAAACGAAAGTTTAGATACTTAGGTTGCTAGAGAAAGTCTTTGATGCCACGAAAGTGGATTAATTATACATTTATGTTTGAGTTCTAGATTGTTCTATAAACTGTCCTGAATAATTGTTTGGTTCTTGATCTCTGAATTCCTGCGAAATACCTAGACATAGCGCTTTCTTTTACTGTCTTTAAACCGCTTTTATTTGCTATTTTCGTTTAACATTACATCCAAGAACCCATATTCTTGTCTTAACTTAGTTTCTTTCATTAAGATTTGCAGTGTGACACTTGGTCCTTGTGGATTCGATCTCTACTTTACTACAATATATACTTAAAACTTTGTGTATCACTTACCTCAAAATTTAACTTAACATTTCTATATATGTTAAATTTCATGATCTTACAATTCAAAACCAATTGGCTATAACTAGAATGGTTTTATATCTCTTATATACTTTAACCTTATTTTAACTTCTGATGTAGGATCCTAATATGCACTTTTCAATCGTGACTCTAACACTATAGTAAGTTTCATGGGTTTCTTATTCAAAACCAATTAAATTGACTAATATCTCTTTCATATTTTTTAGGTCTCATCTTAATTTTTTTTTTATGCTGGTTCTTTGCACTTATTACGATATATTTGTAAACAAACCAAAATGCTAAACATCCTCAGTAATATTTTGTTTGGGCTCTTTAAGATTTTTTCTTCGCTTTTGTAGTACACATTAACGTAAGCGCACACAGTTTTCTTAAATGCATGTATGTATATTAAAATTTATGAATGAAAACATGGAAAAGTAGAAATACAACACTAGCTGATTTATTATAAAGTACACCCACACGTAATAAAATAGGTACCGTCATAATCTATCCTTTCAAAACTTAGATAGACAAAACAGTACTCATACATACATTTAAATGTTTTCTTATTTTGTCGTTATTTAATTTGTTTCATTACATTATTAATTATCAAACTACGTTCTTAAGTAAGTAACCTTTTATATCTATTAATCAAACCCATAAAGCCCCTACACGTTTAAGCATGGGTATAAGAGAACGATTGAGATGGAGACTCATGACTTGATTGGCTCCTCCAACGAGCTGCCCTCCTATGAACACCACCGGTACGGTCGGGCTGCAGCCAAGCTGAGCCAATGCTTGCTCTATTTCTTTTCCTCTACTGATCTCGTCTAGCTCATAAATCGTTGGGTTCACGCCAAAGTCTAAGAAGAGAGTCTTGATTGTGTGAGACATGCAGCACGAGTTCTTGCTAAAGATCACTACGGACTTCTCGGAGATCATCTTTTGTAGCTTCTCCATTAATGTTGTAATGTGAAAAAATGTCTGTAAAGAGGCTCGTGAAGGAGAAAAATGTGTGTGTTTTGGTCGAAATGCGAGATTAATTATGGATGAAAATTGGAAAATTAGAAGATTTTGAAAGAGATTGTGGATATCTTCGGGTAAAGATGAGAAGTGAGTTTGAGCTTATGTGTTTGGTCAGTTTGATGAAGAGAAATGTTTATAAGGGTCCTATATATAGCTCTCTAAGGTTCGTCCTTTTTTCTTATGTACGTACAGCTATCATATTATGGGTTTGATAGCACTTTTTAGAGAATCTACTTTATCACGAAATAAAGGAACTATCACGTTTTAAATAAAGAAAAATTAATATAATGGGGAGTATCTGAAAGAATTTGAGGCTATCAACGGTTCACACCTTCTCACCTTCTTAACTCATTTTGGCTCTTGCAGCTAAAGAATAAAACTATCAACTAGTTGGGTAAAACGTACAGAAAACAAAATCTCTAAGATGTGACGAATATTTGATACGGACAAATCGTGTCAACTCTTTATAGTACGGATATATGTTTTCATTGTCAAAAAGATATACATATTTATCACATTACGTACATTTTAATTAAGTTGATTTTGCATATAGGTTTTATTTTATATTAGATATTTTGGACGGATTGGATCTTAATATCCTTCTAAAGCCTGCCATGTCAATTGCACTGAGCCACTGACCAATATAATTCAAACTGACATGTGTTGATGATGCTTTGCATTTGCTTATTAATACATAAATAAAGATCTATTAGTGATGTTTTTCTCAATATAATTGGCATATGCTGATATGCGCATGAACATGATAAAGGTAGAGGCTCTACGTACTTCGTGAAGACTCGAGATCGTAGGTATATCTCCAGAATAATCTTGAGTTGAGGATTACGTGGTCTCTGGACTTACCAACCAAACCATAATATTCTCACGAGATTTCATCATAAGTCGATTTAAGAATAAAGGTAAATTCTTCAAGATTCTTGACATCGGTAAAGTTCGATCTCATTCTATGACGATAAGGCTGAAATGGAACCACGTTGTTGTTTTTTAAGCTGACCCAACATTTATACGAAGAGTCATTTATATAAAAATTACAAAGGGATCACATGCAGCATATCACGTACATGTCTTACGTACAACAAAAATTCGTATAATTGCATCTAACTTCGCAACCTTTTACCATTCCATCACTTTCTTTTATGTATTATATATTTGTGATGTAATGTATTAGATAAATTACCATTCGAAGGTTAATAGGCATAAATTTCCACACTCTAGTATATTGTGATTGAACTTTGAGAAGTTTTTTTTTCTTCAAAATGCAAACAAATAAATTTGTAAAGACTTGTTCATTTATAGTTTCGAGTGTTTTCAAATGAAAAAAAAAGTACAACCTTTTGAATTGCAAATTAGTTTAATAAGAATATACAAAGAAACTGATCATGATTTGGTGCCATATAGTGTATCAAAGTTGGTGGATACTTATTTTATGCAGACTCAACTTCCTTTGTTTTATCAGCTGGTGTTTCCTACGCACCCCAAAGAAAACAGCAAATTATGTAAGAGATTTCTTATATACACTTCATGATAATGAGATCAAATTAACCACTAATAGTGAACCAACCAATATCATCACACACTATATACTAAAATGAATTTTCATACCTCTAAGGCATCAACTTGATCTTCATCTTTTATAACCGGAACTTCATCGCTTTCCGTGGCCGCTGTTTCGTCATTTTCCGTTGTCAGAGTTTCTTCAACTTCTAATTCCGTTGTTGTGAGAGTTTGTTCATCTGATTTTGCTTCTTCCTCTACCTCCGTTTCAACGTCACCATCAATATTATCATCGCTTTTATCCTCTACACTTTTCTCTTCCTCTACCTCGGTTTCAATATCAATCGTTTCTGTTAATCGACCAACAAAAGAATCATATATGTCAATATTTTCTATAAAACAAACCTCAAAAAAATTAGTTATATATTATGTATGTTTGGTGTATTTTTTGCAATTGCAACGTTAAAAATCAAGAATGAAGCAATTATCATAAGATACATAAACCAAATAATTAGATTATATTATTTAATTGCGTACCATTTTGTTCATCAACAGGCAAAACGCTCTCATCCACATTGTTAACCGTCTCCTCCGTCACAACATCCTCCGATATGGTTGTTTCCTTTTCCTCCGTCACAACATTCTCGGTCTCAATCGCTGTCGCTGGCGGCGAAATGGTCGTTTCCTTTTCTTCCTTCACAATATTCTCCGGCGGCGAAGTGGTCGTTTCCGTTTCCTCCGTCACAATATTCCCCGGCAATATCGCTGTCACCGGCGGCAAAGTGATCGGTTCCTTTTCCTCCGGCAAAGTGGTCTCTTCCGCCGTCTTCTCACCGCAATCTCCTCCAGCTTCCTTTTCCTCCGGTTTCTTAGTATTGTTTTCTAGGGTGATTTCTGGCGGATTACCGGAAACTACGGCGGGGATGTCGTTTGTTTCCCGGCACCGACATCTTCCTTGTCTTTTCATTGTCTCGCTTTCTTTGCCCTTCACTGATTCAGCTTCCGAAGGTTTTCTGATGGTGTTACCCGTAACAACATCGTGTTTTGATTTTCCGCAACCCATTTTTCTTAGAGATATTTCTCTAATTAAAATCGATTCTTTTTCTACAAGAACGCTCTCTCTTTTTTTTTTTCTTGTTTGTATTCAATGAACTGAGAGAAAAACCACACGAAGGATTGATGAAGAAAAGATGTATCTATTGATGGATTTTTATTGAAGGAGATGAAGAAAACGGTAAACTGATTCCAGTTGTTGGTTTTTTTTTGCGTTGTGATTCACTTTTGTTAGAAAATGTTCATTTTCGTCTTAGTTATTTGTTCGGTGTTCCAAACTTAAGGCTACACCAATTTTTTCAACCAAATTTTTTTTTTTTTATTTATTTATAAATAGAATAGCAAGGTTATGTTTAGTTAGAGGGCTGCGTGCGACAGAGAGGTGCCCTAAACTAAAAGTATTAAAGGAAAAATGGAAAATTAATTACTATTAAAAATAAATGAGTTATTTGTTTTTACCACAAAGAGATTTGAAAAAATTGAAGTTGAAACTTTCTTTATCTACTGCTTTGAAAGAAAAAGATGTATATTATTGGTCTAACTAGTAACTTACGTACGTACGTACCGATAGTTCAATGAAAAATGGTGGATTCGTTAGGCTTCAGTGAAAAATGGTAGAATCATTTAGTGAAATTGATAGAATCAATAAATATGTTCAATGAAAAATGGTGGAATCATTTAGTTGTTTAAAAATATTATATAAGTAGGCCTAAGCAACCTTAACAAAAAAAACAAACCAAATCGAATCAAATTAAGAGATACGAAACCAAATCAAATAATTATAAATATCTTAATAGTTAGTTTTTTAATAGATATCCAAAATACGATTATATACTTTAAAATATTAATTATATATAAATTTGAAATAACCAAAATTAACTAGATATGTATTACTTGAAAAAACTGAATTATTCGTGTACTTTTACACAAAATTACCTAAATTACCGCCCGTATTACCCAATACTTTTACCAGAGTTACCAAAAAAGTCGAATCAAAGTATCAAACCATAATCAAATCGAACCGAAAACCAAAATTATTAATCAAAACCGAACCAAATTTCGTAAAACAGTTCGCATTAGTAACAAGTGTATCCGAATTATTTAAAAACTAAAAAAAAAATGAACTGAACCGAACGTCCAAGCCTACGAGAACCGGACGTAGAAAGTTAAGTTTAAATAAGGTGAATTAGTTAATTATGAAAACATATAAGGGATATTTTATAAATAATAGATTGTTAGTGGTCTAAAACATAAACCCTAAAACATCTTTGATTCCCGGCGTCTAACCATCGTGCTCACTCTCAATCTAGCGACCCGACTCAGTTAGAAAAATAAAACAAGAATCCGAGCTTGACTCAGAAACCCTGAATCACGAGCTATGCAATTTCTCCGAAGCTCTCGTAGAATCGCTAGGCTCGTAAAACCCATTGCTGTAACCGATGCTAATCTGAGATTCGTCTCCTCTGCTTCTCAAATCTCTGGTTCCTTCCAATGGCGGAATCATGCGTCTGCTTCTTCCTCTCTATTACAAGGTACTTTCTTTATTTCATTTCACTTGCCTATTGCGAAATTAATTGATCTCCAGCTTTGGAAAAATGGAGAATTTTCTTTTTGGAAATGAGTACTCGTTGGCAAAAATTTAGTAGTGGACTATGCATTTTTAGATTGTTCTCTAGTGTGATTTGGGACTTATCTATATCCAAATTGATGAAAAATTCTAGCTTGGCGAGCTGTAGATTGTAGAAAATGTAGCCAGTGAAGGTGATGATCCTGAAAAATTCGAACATGGATCACTTTTATGCGAGAAATGGGATCACTTTATAGAAAAATCAAACCTTTCCCATGAGATAGATACAATCTTTACATCTCTAGCTTAAGATTCTTTTGAATGTAAGTTTCTAGTGATCTTGAGTTGGGATATCGAAGTATGAGTTTGAGTGAGTGATTCAGATGAACGATGTTTTGCAGGGATGGAGAGCTTCACTCAATTGCATAGCCACTCGTCCTCTGTGGGCTTGTTGATCCCCAGATCAAGCTTTTCCTCTGAAGCGGAGAAGCTTGCGGGGAACCCTACAGGTTGCTGCTGCTATGTCACTTTGTTTTTGAATTACATATCTTGAGTCCACCAAAGCGAGTTTCTCATTGCGTTTCTACTGCGCAGTAAATGTCAAGGAATTGCATGCAAAGATCCTCAGCTCTGTAAATGTCAAGAGATCAATGCCTCCGAATGCTTGGCTGTGGTCTTTGATTGAGAGTTGCCAGAATCAAGATGACATTCATCTTCTCTTTGAAGTTCTTCAGAATCTCCGGAGATTTGTCAGTAGCACTTTCAATTCTCTCCTTTGTTACATCCCTTGTTATGTTCCAGTAGAGAATTCTCGTATGGTTATCTAATCGATGCTTGTCGATCGCAGAGACTATCAAATCTTCGTATTCATGACAACTTCAATAGCAATCTATGCCAACAAGTTGCTAAGGCTTGTGTGCGTGTTGGGGCAATTGAATCTGGTACTCAATTTCTCTTTTTTCACTGTATGAGTTACTTTTGGTTTGGTTTTTTTATCTTAATCTAATCGAACACGCTCTTTGTGGTTGCAGGAAAGAAGGCGTTGTGGAAACATAATGTTCACGGTTTGACACCAAGTGTTGCATCTGCACACCATCTATTGGTATTGACTGTCTATAATATCTTCAGCTGTTTGTTTAGTACACGTAGACTTCTTAAAGACGTGTTCTCTGGATTTCATGTAGGCATATGCATTAGAGCACAAGAATCCTGAACTCATGGAAGAAGTCATGAAACTCCTGAAAACGAATGACCTGCCTCTACAACCTGGTACAGCAGATTTAGTTTTCAGGTGTGTGAAAAATTGTTACTGTTTGTATTCTTTATGGTTGCGCCTTGCTCTCTTATCATGAAATGAACTTTTACTGGTTTTTTTTTTTTTTTTTTTTTTTTTGCAGGATCTGCCATGATACAGATAAGTGGGATCTACTAGCCAAGTACTCGAAAAAATTCTCGAAAGCTGGAGTTAAGCTGAGGAAGACCTCGTTCGATGTATGGATGGAATTTGCTGCGAAGAGAGGTACTTTTGGTTTCCTATCTTATACTTGCATTGATTTATTGTTCTGTAGAAAAGTTGTGATATCAAGTGTTCTTGAGATATGGCTTTATAAACACTAGATGGATTTAACAACCTATCATGTCTTTGGTTTATCTTATACTGTTTGTTTGTTCTTGCACTGTTTTGGGACCTGTTGGTAATGGAAAACTAATAGGAATCCATCGAATTTTGATTACTTTCTTCCGTTTTGTAACAAACAAATCATGTCTTTGATTAAAGTGATTTCTTTCGTAGCGCATCTATTTCCTGATCACAAATGGGATTAGTCTAGATGTAAGAAGCAGATCTGAAAATCTTAACAGAACACGAATGTCCGTGTAGGATTTTGTTCCCTACGACTGATGTTGTTTTGCTGATTATGTCAATCTTGTTATCAGGGGATACTGAGTCACTTTGGAAAGTAGATAAACTGAGATCAGAGACATACAGTCAACACACTCTTTCTACTGCTTTTTCCTGTGCTAAGGTAAATAAACACATCTCTTATCTCGGTTCTCGTGTTATAATCAAATGTGGAAACTTTCATACTTAAAAGTATTGCTCCTTACGCAGGGTTTCTTAGTAGAAGGTAAACCTGAAGAAGCTGCTGCCGTCATCCAGGTTATCTGCCAGGTGAGCTCAGAGCCTCTGGTTAATATTATCCCTTCAATACTGATGTAAACCTTACAGTGTAACCTTTTTTTATAGCTCTGATTAGTGTTTAGTTTGAAGATATGTGTGCGACTGAATATGCAGATGTATCCTGATGAGAAGAACTCAGCAGTGTCGACAGAATTCAAGAAACTGGTAAATGAGTGGCCTATTGACGTTATCAGGCGCCAAACCGAAGAAGATAAGAAGGTTAAACAAATTTTCTCTCTACCTGTTATGTTTAAACCCTGAAACCTAAGCGATATACATGATCCTCTCTTTGTAACAATGATGAACAGGGTCTCGCTGCTTCGTTGAAATCTGCTATTCCTTCCATGGTTAACGCGTTGCTAAGCTCGGGTCTGACAGTGAACGTTGATTTAGATGAGCTGTACAAGAACGAAGCTCTTCTCAGCTGAATGATTGAATCAATCAACATTTTTCAGAAGCTTCTTCGTGGCTCCAAAGGATTGAAAGTTTAACTCTTTCGTAGCGAGTTTTTGATGTGATCTTGTCCTTTTCACGGTTGCAACGTAGAGAAGAGGGAAAGAACACATTGTTGTTCAGTTTCTTGCAATCTACGGTAACTCTTTTTTTCGTTTAATCCATTTTTTGTAAGCCTCAAATAGTAAAAACCATTTAAATATTAAAGAAAACTTAGTCTTAATAAAATGTTCATTGATTGGTGTGGGTTGAATATTTGTTTTTCATGTTGATATAGTGTGGAAAAATGAAAATAAACTTACGAAACTTATGCGGATGAGACGAAACTTTCTGGATAAATTTTAATATCGGTCGACCAAACAGGCAAAGACACAGATCTGACCAGTCTAACTATGGTTGGACTGCACATAAATTAGGAAGCGCAGCCAATACATTGTCTGATAGACTTGTGAGATTATAGTCACGAGTCTCCATATTTAAAAAATGTGATCTTCTTCGTGAGTTGGAACTTGCATGCTAGGTTTCTCCGAAATTTTGAAGGGTTTTGTGCAAATTAACCAGTGAACTTAATTTGTTTTTGCAAAATCAACCCTCAAATAATTATTGTGCAAGTCAATCCTATCATTAGCAAAGTCATTTGTAATATTGGACATGAGTAATATCATCAATGTCAACAAGGTCTGCAGGTGTTAGAAAAAAGATGGAATGATAAAATGATACCGTTTTATTAAGAGAAATTGCATGATGTTTTCGTGTTTGCAACTGTTTTGAGATTTACAAAATGGCATGGAATTTGAAACCCGCGAATAATTTAGATCAGAAGGGGAAAACTCGATTTTGGAAAAAAAAAAGGTTTAGAGAAAACAGATTGAAAGAGAAGGAGATTGTCAAAATGGATTTGGGAGAGAGAGATTGCATCGAAATAGGGGAGCTTGATGCTTCTCGACCTGAGTTTTGTGTGAAGAGGAGTTGAAATTGGCGAAAAGGGGTGAAGAAGAATGATGTGCTTCGATCTGTTCTTCAACGTCGGCGGCTACTGGGCTCGCGATGGATCTTATCTTGGAGGGGATCCCCATGAAGGTGGGACACACGTCTGTAAAGGATTCAATGTGAAGAAGGTGTTGATGCTTTTGGTTGATTTTATCGGTTATGAAGACAACATGAGCAAAATTTCTTGGTTTCCACCTGAAACTCCCACCGAGAGAGAAGATATAGAGGACGATGAGACAATGCAGAAGGCCGCCCATTATGGTATTGCCGCAAGTGCGTTAACTCTTTTTGTTGTTAGAAGTGATGATCCATTTATTGAGCAAATGACGGTTCAATATCAGCGACTTGATAAGGAGGATGTTGAACAAAATATGGATGCTAATAATGCTGATGGTGATAATGCTGATGGTGATAATGCTGATGGTGATAATGCTCATGATGATAGTGCTTATGAAAATGTAGAGGATGAGGATAGTAATCCAAATGTCTATGCTGAGGTTGATGACTATAACAGTGAGAGTGAGGATGATGGTAGGATGGATGTCGATGATAGCAAGTATAAGCAGTTTGAGATAGGTCAACAGTACAGAACCATCAACAGCTTTAAAAAGGCTGTGACTAAATATACTGTGAAGAAGAAGAAGAAGAACATTAGGTACAAGAAGACAGATAGCAAGCGTGTTCTGGCAGTTTGTGCTGAAAAGGATTGTCCTTGGAGGATATATGCATCTATCAACAGCAGCTCTCCTAGGGTGGTTATTAGATCGCTTCAAGAAGAGCACAACTGCACTTGGTGTGGGAAGGTGACTCTGCTTACGAATGCAAGAATAGCTGTGTTGTACATTGAAGAATTCATAGAGAATCCAAATATTTCAGGAATGCAACTGCAGAACAGGCTCCTCAAACGCAACATCAATGTACCTTGGACAATTTGTGAGAGGACAAGGCTGAGATGCTTGCAGACTTTTGACAGAGAGCAATAAGCACAATTTGGGAGGCTCCATGACTATGTTTATGAGTTGAAGAGATCAAATTCTGGATCTACAGTTGAATGTGAGGTACGGGAATCAAAGTTTTATAGATTCTATGTATGATTTGCTGCTTTGAAAGACGGATGGAAAGCTGCTTGCAGAAGGATAATTCATCTTGATGGTACTTTTCTGAAATGGAGAATGCACGGTATGTTGTTAGTGGCTTGTGGTAGAGATCTGAATGATCAAATGTTCCCAATTGCTTGGGGCATTGTTGATATCGAGAGTAAGGATAACTGGTTATGGTTTTTTTAGCATCTCATTAATAACTTAGCCTTGAGATCAGGAAATGGGCTGACTTTATTGAGTGATCAGCAGAAGGGTTTGATTGGAGCTGTGAAAATTCTGATGCCATATGCTGAACACAGGATGTGTGCTAGACATGTTTATGCTTGCTGGAAGAAAAGACACTCGGGAAGTGAGCTGGTTGACTTATTTTGGGCTGCTGCAGATTCATATTATCCATTAGCATTTGAAAGGAAAATAAAAGAGTTAAAGGAGTATGACCCGGTTGCACACGCTGATTTGAAGATAAACATTTGGGTTCCATGGACAAGGTAAGTCTGAATTATATTTCTGTTATGCTGAGAAACATTTAAGTGGTTAATGCTATTTTATATGTGTTTTCAGAGCTTATTTCTTTGGGTATTCCAAATGTGATGCTGTGGAAAACAATTTGGGTGAGTCTTTCAATACAGCTATTAGGATAGCTAGAACGAAGCCCATAGTGGAGATGCTTGAGATGATCAGAACGAGTGTTATGATGTCGTGTGACACGAAACGATTAGAAGCTGAGAAATCAAGATCAGATTTCACTCAAAGAGCAATTTCTTTACTTGATCAGCAGATTGACTTGGCGAAATATTGTATGCCTCTTCCTTGTGGACTTGGAAAGTATGAAGTAACCTATAGAAATACTGAGAGGTATATTGTTCATCTTAGAAACAAGGTGGATTGCAGCTGCAGGTTATTTCTTGTCAGTGGTATACCTTGTTCCCACATTTGTTCTGCGCTTAGACTAGAAAAACAGGCAGAACAAAATCCTAGGACATTGATTAGCAGTTGGTATTCGACTGAGAACCTTAAGAGATGCTGTGAGAGTCATATGGGTCCTGTCAATGGAATGAATTTGTAGAAGATAACCACTGATGAGATGGTTAGACCGCCTTTCTTTAAGAGTCCAGGAGGCAGACCACCAGGGAAGAAGCGAAAGAAAGAGAAGGGTGAGAAAGAAGCACCAGGAGTGGGCAAAAGAGGGATCAAAATTGTAAGTTTCTTATTTCTTGATGAGAATGCTTTGTGATCAATAATGTTGTTTCTTATTATTGTGGAATTGTTTCTTGTTTCCAGCATTGTGGCAACTATGGTGAAGAAGGCCACAACAAGACCAGATGTAAAAATGCTGAAAAACCATAGCCTCCTGGTAGGCCGCGTGTGAGATCTATTGTAGATTCTGCTCAGCAACCTGGATCTCTAGCTGTTTCAGCTTCGGCTTGGGATTCTGCTGAAACTGCAGATTCTGCTGAAGCTGCTTCTTCATCCCAGCCTGTTCAGAACGAAACTTGGAGGCCTTGGGGTGATGCTGAAGGTGGGTCTTTATCTCAGCCTGCTGAAGATCTTCCAAATTTGTCCTGTGCACTGCCAAAAAGGAAGCCAGGCAGGCCACCCAAGTATCCACAAAAGGGAGCCTCATCTTCTCAACCTTCTAGTGAAACGATCAAGCCACATAAGAGAGCCTCGTCTTCTCAGTCTACATATGACAGAGGACCAACTACCATCCCACGAGTAAGTATACTAAAACTAGTTGGTAACATATAGTTTGATTATGTATGGTACACTAACACTTGTTTTCAATGTAGGAGAGTTATGGTATATTCACAAGTCCTATAACAGGTGATGACTACATTCAGGTTGGTAGGTCTATGATCAGCGCTAGGGACAACACAATTCTACCTAGCACACTTTACAATTCAAGAGAACGAAAGAAGCTTGATGTAGCTCGTGGTCGTAGCTGTGGTCGTGGCCGTGGCCGTGCTAGTAGGTCATCAGAGCCTTGAAGACTTGTCCGCATTTGTTTCTTGAACTTATTCTGTGTTTGAAGCCATGGAGAAATCTACTTAAAAAGCAAAACCATGAAGGTTACAAAGGCCACACCAATAACTATCACAATGAGATTCTTCATCTCCTTCACAACCAAAGCATTCTTTTCAACTTCACCACTTACATCACGACTCTGGAGCTCCTCCACCACCATCCTCATGTCTTAATACTTCTATCTATCTTGTTGGACAGCTTGTTGGGCAAGAACATGGAGGCGGACAACTTCATCATGACTGCGGTTAACATTAGCCCACATCATACGGTGATCCACAAGGTCCCCTTTTTCATCACGGTTGATTAAACGAACCCTATCTTCGAGCTCTTCTTTCTCCATCTTAATTTCTCTTAACTCCTCCATGACCGCCTCTTCCCACCACTTCCAGAAATTACAGCTACCAACCTGGATAGTCACAACTAACAATCTAAGATGTATTTCATATTTAACAATGCACATTCATGTTTCAAAATTGGCAAGGCATATTCACAATACACATTCACGTTTTAAAATTGGCAAGGCGCATTTGCAATGCATATTCACGTTTTGTCACTTACATCTGCTTCCACGCAGGCGTAGTACCTCCTTCCCACACTGTCAGGCAAGTAAGAGGTGAGAAGGATTGGTCTCTTCCCACAATAACAGCTCTGACGTATTCCTATTTGTCTGCTCACTCGATCATCGGACCGCACACTTGCTCCATCAGAAGAACTCCAACTGAAACTATACTGACCCATCTCCTTCATAGACAATTAAAAAAAAATCCATAAGTCTTTACTTTAGTGTAGATACTCTTCTCTGGACACTCATCTCGAACCCAGAATTGTCATCGAACGAGGAAAAAAGACATGATCACCACGATTCCTAAACCCTATTATCTAAAGCAATAGGTAATGGATAAGAAATATACCTTTATTGCTGAATTGCGACACGACGTCAATGAATCCTCTAAATCGCCTCTAAGTCGGATGAACCCTAGATTTCGATTTGGAGAAAACACATATATGAGAAACGCAGTCGTGTTGTATAGCACTCAATTATGAAAAATCGTGCCATTAAGCAATAATGGTGTCGTTTTATCATTACGTCTCTTTTTCAACACCTGCAGATGTTGTCGATGTCGACGACATACACATGTCCAATATTACGAATGACTTTGCTGATGATAGAATTGACTCACACGATAATTACTTGAGGGTTGATTTTGCAAAAAAAATTGAGTTCACTGGCACAAAACCCAAATTTTGAATATTTAAATTGTTGCATCTCTACTTGGTAGGTTAAGTAAACACGTAGAGTATCTCCAACATAACGTGGTAACTCACAGATTTGATATCAATATCATTTAATAGTATAATTAAATTTTAAATATAAAAAGAAGTAAACCAATAACACAATGCCACATATACAAAGAATCGCTCTTTTTTGTCGTCAATTTGCATTAAAGCAAACCCAAATAGGGTAGAGCAGAGTTACAACTGTCAGTTTAGGTCCAATACATAAACAAAAGAAAACCCATTAAACCTAAACAGATCTACACCACGTGGAGTGATACGTGTAAGAACTAAAGAAGCTAAAAAAACCATGTGTCAGATGGAAGTTGAAATCGCTGCAACTTCATCGCCGATGACAGTCGTCGACACTACCACCGAGATAACAAATTGATCACACAAAGCTGCAACGAGATTTCTGCTCCTTCCTTTTGCACATAATCGCCAGGATAGAATGAGAAATCTTCAAGTACTCATCGGAGATCTAATTCAAAGAGTCTTCGGATGCAGGTGACAGAATTTTTACCGGACCACTTGAAGCGCCAGCTCTTTCTTATTCTGTTCCAAAACACCCAAGAGAAATCCCCCTCTCTCGATTTCACTAACCTGCAGAAAAACTTCGCTTCCATAAACGGATCTTGTCCAACAACGAAGTAAAGAAAGATTACTTTCTCGCAGAGATAAGAAATCAAGCCAATCCAATGAGAAAGAGATTAAACATTAACCACCACCAGGATTTAAAGATAACACATGCAAAAGGAAAAAACAAAACAAATCTGATATACAGAATTATTTATTCGACAAGCGGAATCAAAAGATCCGACTTAGCGGAATAGATAAAACAAACATTAGATCCGAAATAATATAGACAGTACGGTACCAGCGTTGAATTTACGCTGGCCACCGGCCAAAAGTAAGCTCAGATCGGAAAAGTTGTGTTTAAAGGTTCGAGAGAGTGAAGTGAGAGAAAATAGAGAGAAGTTCTAACACAGTACCACATACAAAGAATCTCTCAATCTTTTAATTTGCTAGAGAATAGAGACGTTTCTCAAAGAAAAACTGTATCTAAAACTTTTTATTTTTGATATTTTCAACATTTTGACTCTAATATTTTTAATATTGAGACACAGAATGAGATACTTCCGTTGAAGACGATCTTACATAATTATGTTTAATGTTTCGTACAAATAGAGTTGGTAGGCGTTATCGCCTCAATAGATAACTTGTTACTCATCTAGTTTTCCTTTTCAAGTGAGTTGTTGAGTATACTTAAATTAGTGTTGTATCGGTATTAATATATCTGGGAACAAAAAGGACGACTCTATTTTATTTAAAGTTTAAAAAAATATTTTCATTTCTGTAAAGTTTATTCTGTTTACACTTTTTCTGTTTGGTTTCTTTTTTTTTTTTTGAATCAAAATTTAGTAATTTAAACAGTAACTAAGTGCGTAAAAAGTAAAAACCATTCTCAATTGATATAAAAAGGGAAATTGGAGTTTAACAGGTCTCCTTCAGAAAATAACGCAAAACGAGATTTGTCAATTCTTGTAAGCCTCAAAAGCTCAAAACAACTTCATCGCCAGGACTTTTTAAATAGTAGAAACTATATTCTCTAGAATGGAAAAGAATCAAGTCTCTTATATTAGACTGATACAAGAGGTTCATTGATATTACAACTATATATAACTCTGCTGGTTGGATATTTCCGAAATTCGAATAATTATTGGTCTCACAACAGAAAATGATTTAACAAACCTTAAAAGCAAATAGACAATAGATGGTTGTTGATAATGACTTTACATAACACACAACGACAATAAAATAAAATAAAAACAGAAACAGAAACAGCAAACTTGATTAAACATTTCTGTCTTTTCTCTTTTTGGAGTTAAAAAAATTAAGGAAGCTTAATAGCATCAAGAACAACAAGAAGCATAAACACAGCTGCAGCAATAAGAGTGAAGGCAACCGAAGCAGCAGTTTGGTGACAGAATTTTCCAAAAACGCCACAAACTTTCTTCCACATCACATGTTTGTTCCCTTTTAAACCCATTAGTCCAATTGCTCCGGCGGCTCCAGTGCCGGAAAACAGCAAAGCCACCATCACTAAATCTCCTAACAATACCGCCATTAACAAGCCTTTGCTTCTTCTGCCTTTAGTGATCATCAGAATCACTATGGAAATCGCCGTGTAACCGCAAGCTATAGCGTTTGCAGAAATGTTGAACCTACAACATTTGTAATACTACATTACTCATTTCTGAATTTTATGCATATCTAACAGTTTAGCAATCAATCTATGAACTAATTTGTCTTGATTTTTCTAAATTTGTATATATAGATGCATATATGCAGACTCTGCATTGCTGGTCATACCAGCTAGAATTGTTGTACATTAAATTTTAAACTAAATTAAGAGCTAAGAAGGCTAGAGACAGATTTGTTATGGACCAACATCGATGTTGTGAAACATTTTGGGTAGTTGGACATTTATGATAGGATTAATTAACTACGAAATTTACTGTTCATCTGACAATGATTTTATATTATTATATATATATATATGCACGTATGTAGATAAAATGATTAGTTCAGCAGCACATGCAATTAGTGTCTCAACTCTATCAATTTACCGTAAATGCTACAATCCACTATCCAGATATGTACACGTACACGACGACGTATACAATAATTTGTTTATTGTAGTGATAGAGCATTTATGTGTGTTAGCTACAAGTTAAAATATTTATGTGAATTTTAAAATAAAATATATGAAGTGATATCAATTATATAAAAAATTGTAAACGCAAACAGGAACGCATTCGATTCCGGTGTTTCACTTTTGCGATTTCGATGGAAACACGAAATAGTTTTTTAGTTTTCATGCAAACACAATAATTTAACACTTTTAACATGAAAAAGCGTAAGTGCGAAGAAAACATAACATACCCGTGCATTATGACATCTTTCTATCCACGTTTGCGTTTCATATATATCTCAAAATCAATCCACAATCAAAAACAGTTCGAACAAAATTTATAAATTAAAATTAAAAATGTAATTAATTTCTGTTCGTTGTAAAGACCAAGATGCACAAAACTTCAGCCTTTAATTTTCATTTCTATTAACCAATGTCTAATTACCGTGACTCATGTTTTACAGTTCATGAATGTGAATTTTTCCGACAACGTTTTTCACTTCACAATAATATCTTATAAGAAAGCTAAAAATGATATATATATATATATATATATATATATATATGTTAAAACCGTGAAATTCATTTTTGATTTTCTCTGTTACATGTATATGATAATATGAGGAAAGGTGAAAGAAAAGAGAGAAGCTTATATGTGTGTGTGTGTGTTAAAAACGTGAAATTAGTTTTTCATTTTCTCTTTTACATGTATGTATATGAGGAAAGGTGAAAGAAAAGAGAGAAGCTTACACAAAAGCAGACAAGTAAGAGGCTTTGGCGGTTGTAGAGACATCAAGAGGAGGCAAAGTTGGAATAATCTTAATAGACACAACTTTTGTCTGCTTTGCTACACCAAGAATTATTGCAGCAGCCATTGTTAGAACCAAAGCCAACACTCTCATCGTTAATTCGACACCTTTTTTCGAACCATTCTCCTTCTTTCCATTTTCCATCTCCATCCCATTCATATTGTTCTTGCGTTCTTGTTCCATTGCGCCTCTCACTTCGGGATAAAAAAAGAGTGTCAAATCAGAAAAGAGAGAGAGAGAGAGAGAGAGAGAGAGAGAATAGTAAAATATACTATATTTTTGGGTCTTTTCCCAACTTCTCAAGCTCTCGAGGTGAGTAGAGAGACGTGTAATATATACTATATTTTTGGAATACGCTTACTTAACATGTACATATACAGCTAGTGTGGATAGTATTAATGATGTCTACGTGGCTTAATTTAAGTTTATGTGGCGCGAGAGAGATTCTTAAGCTTACGAAAGAAAAGAGTATATGGATATGTACGGGAAAATAAAGTGTGAACACCGTATGTAAAAGACAAAAAAGGGTGTGAATACATTTTCATGGAAAGTTGGGGAAAATACAAGTTTGTGGAGTTTTTGACTTGGGGTGTTGTTCATTGCAAGTTTCAAATACGGTAACAATGATATGTAGTTATGTACACACCTGATTTATTTAACATATCGTAAAGAAGCTATCGATAATTTCTTTGTATATGTAAACTCGCTCACACACAAAAATATGCTTCGGATTAATTAGGTCAGATATGTTAATTTCGGTTGATTTATAAGGAATTTTTTCTTGGGGGTTAAATTATCGATAATTTGAATTAGTCTTTTGTCCTCTAACTTTTCAGGCAATATACCGATTTTTTATCTTTATTTGATCTGATAAATATGATGAGAGATTATTATAATTATTTCTAATAAATATAATTTGAATATAAATGGTTAAAAAACACCAAACACTTCTTTTTTAAAAAAAAATTGAAAATAAAGTATAATTCAAAACAAAATATCACATCATCCCAAAAGATTTAATTTTTGACACTGGAATTTTATAAAAATGCATTCAGCAAGTTTTTGTCAATTCTATGGCACACCTAAAATCCTGCTTCATTAATTTTATAATAGATCTAAAAAGGATCTAAGTTATAGATAAATTAAGTCATTGTCAATACCTAAAAAAAGCAATGAACAAAATAAATGTAATAGAATTAAACAAAAAAAAAATAAAAAGAAACATTGAGCAGATTATAAGCATACATTAAATAAATTGTAACTAATACTAAAAATGAATAACAAAATAGTTAAATGATTCAAACAAAAAAAATAAACATCATATTTGTAACTAATCAAAGAAAAGTAATGATAAAATCTAAGAAGTAAAAAAAAACCATGTTATGAATCTTACCTTTTATTTTTACTAATGATCTGATGATATATATACATATATATATATTCAGTGTATATATATATATATTTATTTTCACCAAATTGTATAATATTAAATTAAAAAATTATGTGTGCACACAAAACCTAATCTAGTCTATATATTGTGCTCTATACCAAACCACTTTTTGGATCGATCTCCCGGTTCATTCATGTAATAATTTGTTGTCAGTTAATTAAATAAATATGGCATTTTAGTTATTTGTTAACTTTCGACTATTTTATGGATGCTTGCATAACTGTCTTTAATACAATCTTATGTAATTCAATTCCATTACTTAATCCGATATATATATAGTTCAAATAAATTGCTATTCTAAAAGTCTAAATCTATATTGCTGTTAAAAAAACCAAAGTAGAGAAATAAATGGTATAGCGAAAGGAGTAAAAATTGGTGTGGGGAGAGCATTGAAGGGGTTTAGACACTTAATGCAACCTCGGCAGTTGGCAAGTGTAGACACTGACAGCTCGTTTTTGAAATTATAATGTATAAATTAACTTTACGGAAATATATACTTTTAAAGATTTACGTCAGAACCAAGTTATCATGCACCATACGATTGTTCTAACATACGTCGACACGTACTAATCTATACAGAAGTTGTATAATTGTTAGATAGTTTTGGGGATAGCTATGTATATAAACCAGCCCGTAACAGCCTATAACCAAAAATATGTCGGTGTTAATCGAGCGTTTGGGACCATCATCTATCAATGCTTAAATTGACTAATCCTTGTCATTTTCGTCTTTTGAAAAAAAATCAGGCAAACGTTGTTGTTTTAGGTAATTTAAAAAATTCACAATAAAATCGTTTTAGGATAATAAATATTATATATATACTAAAACCAAAAAAAAAATATTAAATATATATACTAAAATGAAATGAGCACACTAAAATGAAAAATGAAAAAAAAAATGAAATGGGCACTTCGTACTTAGGATGAGTGGTCACATCTCTCTACTTGATCGTTGATCTAGTTCTCTTTTTTTGTGGACTCCTGGTCCTGGCCTGGAGTTCAAATATGGGCCTATGCACCAAATTACTAAAATATTTTTAAAATAACATCAGTTTAACCAAACAAAAAAAAAACTAGATGGCATCAATATATTTTAGAAATTGTATTTCTTGTCGGTAGAGATATGTGACTTTTTTTTTTTTTTTTCTTCGGAACATTAATATTGAACAGAGGAGAAATACAGAGATGAGATACAGAGGTGGGATACTGAACAAACCAGAAGATCACCGGGTAGAGATATGTGACTATACCATAGCAGTTCGATTATATAATAATATCTCTAGAAGTAATGGAAAACAGGGCCCATGACTAGATTTGGGGTTTTGTCAAATTTTCCGCCATATATAGAACAAGATTTGAATTTGAGTGACGCTCAAATTAGGAGTAGTAAGTAATTATCCGTTCTACTTTGTAGAATATATTTCTAAATTTTGTATATATTTTTAATAGTGAAATTATTTTTATAATATAAATAAATATTATATTATTTATTTTATCACCTTAAGTTATATATTTATATGTTTTAAATCTAAATAAATATTATATACATTTAATTATTATTTTTTTCAAAATTGTAAATTATTATCAAATTTTTTTGACTAACTAACTAAAAATATATATGTAAAAATAAAATAATATATTTTTAAATACCTTCATGGCATATATAATTTATTTTCTTCACTAAATTGCCACTTGATCCTCCTTTATTATAATATAAAGTAAAATATCACTTAAAAAAGATTTATTAATTAATATAATTATTTTGAATCGTAAAATTTATTTATTTAATAAATAGTTATTATGAACAAATGTTTCTAAAACTACCAAATTATAATTAATAACATTCATATTAAAATCATTGTCATTGCTTTATAACTAAATAGAAAAATATGTTTGAACTATTGAACTATCAATTTAGCAAAAATTAAATAATTTAATTTTGGTTACTATAAATATATGGTAATTTAAAATTTTACCACCAATAAATTTTATTTTCTTACAAAAACTGAAATATCGTATTTTCCATTAAAACAAAAAAAAAATCATTTTTTAAGAAAACTGATAAATTGTCTATTCCCGTCCAAACCAAGAAATTTTTTTTTTTCGTCAAACCAAAAATTTCATCTTTCCACCAAAACCAAGAAATTGCAATTTCCAGCAAAAACAAAAAAAACACATTTTTTCCTCGAGAACCAATGTTTTCTACTAAAACAGAGAAATCATGTTCCCTCACCAAAACCAGGATATTTTATCTTCCTACAAAACCCGAAAATATTTCCCATCAAAACCGAACAAATTATTTTCCCACAAAAACCGAGAAATCGCCTATTCCCGCCAAAACCAAGAAATTTTATTTTCTCGCCAAACCAAAATTCACGTTTTCCCACCAAAACCGATAAATTACATTTTCCTGCGAAAATCAAAAATTGCATTATCTCGCGAGAAATTGAGTTTTCAGGCAAAAACGAAGAAATCACATTTTCCAACGAAAACTATAAAATTGCATTATCCGTCAAAAAAATAAAAATTTGCATTCCATCAAAACTGAGAAATTGCTTATTCCCACCAAAACCGAGAAATTCCAGTTTCCCTTCAAACCGAGAAATTGCATTTTCTGCTAAAAATTGTCAAATTATATTTTTTCACGAAAACTAAAAAATCGTATTATCCCACTGTTAGAGGAGAAATGAGCACATTTCCTAAAAGGCTTTCTCTAGCAATAACCTAAGTCCATCAAGACCAGGAGGAACACGCCTACCTAGCTCGGATAAAAGAAAAACTCCTAAAGATAATCTAGGAAGTCTGGAAGCATCGGACTGACTCAGAAGATAAAAGAGAATCTCCATATTCTTTGGAGACTAAGGAATATTTCCATATCGCAAATATGGCAATATTCACTGAAGGGAAAAAGGAAAAGGAGTTCGGAGCAACCGACCTCCTATCCCTATAAATAAGAAGATCTCGAAGCTTCAGAGAACAACTCATACAATCTATAGAGAGCAGAGCTAAAACGAAGAACTAAAACGCTTTATAGTTTACTTCGCAAACACTTTCTTCTCACTTCGGCATAACCTCTCGGTTAAGTCATCTCTTGTAATCGCTTCGCTTCACAGCCATTAATAAAAGATCTTATTCTCCGAAAACCACAACTGTTAAGTAAATCCTTAGTGGTGATTTTCTAGTTCAACAGTTGGCGCCGTCTGTGGGGACTAGGAGAATAAAATTCTTAAAAACTAGCGACCAAAGAACCGAAGCGATGAGCCTTCCGATCAATAACAGCGACCTCACCTTCAACAACGAGGACACCACCACGCATACGAAGACATGTCTTGACAAGCACGACAACCTTACCACCGCGAATCCACCTGCAGGAGCACTCTCAGCTCCTATCCTCGCCACCGACCTCGCATCAGCGATCCAAGCCGCCTTACTCCCTCACACCAAACCTGGTGTCCAAGCTAGACACCCTTCAGGCCCAGCAGGCCTAGTATGACGAGCAACTCAGCACCTTGGCAGCCGCGACCACCGCGAGATCGGAACCGCTAGGGCGACGCTTGGTCTTCAAGACACCGGAGCAAGCCAACACTCGGGGCGCAGCACCAGCTAATAAGGAACCCTCCGACGAACTGAATTCTGAGATCGCAAGGTTGCACCAGGAGATTAACGCGATCAGATTTCAAGTCTACCGCGCCACCAGTTCGGCAGAAAAACCCAAAGGAAACACTAGAAGACGCACTCCACCGAGCTCAAACTTTCATACGGATCTTTCGGGCAAAAACCAAGCCATCCTCCCATGCCGTCGTAGCCACCGGAGAGAAGCCCTGGAATCAGTGGACCCGCGGTGATCCTCCAAAGAATTCAGACGATAGGGATGACAACCACGATCTCTACTGCTCCTTCCATGGGCGAACAGGGCATGCTACCTCGGCCTGTCGACACCTCCAAAACTCATTGTATGAAAAATACAAGGAAGGTAAAATT